CATTTCTATCATTGTTTCTATTTAAGCAAATTAATATTGGGACAGGATATTATAGTCTTTATTTTTGATTTATTTATTATTTGATTCCAAGATGTATTTATATAAATAAGAGAAGTTGTTAAATATCAAATATTAAATTTTTAATCTTAATTCAGCAAAAAATTTGAATTCGATTGGCGCATGTTCCATATTATATTTATTTATGTATATTTTTCATTGTTATAAACCCTTATCTTTACTGCAAATTTAAAACATGGAATTTGGAAAATTCCAAAATTAGTTTTTAATTTAAATTGACGCTCTTTATTGAAATATTAATATTAACATTATTTTTAATTATTATTGCTATAGCTATTATAACTATCATTGTTTTTAGTTTGTATGTTTAATACTAGCTTTATTATTGGAATTAATATTTTTATTAGTATTATTACAAATAAATAATTGGCTATTAATTTTTAATTTTTAGAATTATTATTGTTTTTATCATTTTTAAAAATTTTAATCATTCATTTTAATTGACATAATCAAGTTTCGTACCGTTAGTAAAAATATCCAGCGCTATATAAAAATTATCAAAATGAATGCATCTGTTAAAAAAAACTGTTGAACGCAACAGCTCAATTATCAATAATCGTTACAAATTCAAAAAAGAGCTGAAATAATACCAAATCGAATTGTTATTGTTTGTGTCCATTGAGTGCACATTGGGAGGTGTGCTCTTGGCTTACATGCCTGTATTATATATATATATATGTACATATAAGTATATTCTACTCTCGACTCGAAGAAAACAAATGATCAGTTCGAGGGAATCAAAAAAAAAAAAAAGAAGGAAAAAGAATTACTAGCGGGCACTTCTTTCACTTTTCAAGAAATCCACAGGAAGAGCAAAAACTTTTCAATACGAAACTGTCAGATAAATCGGCTCGCCCTCGGTCTTAAAAATGCACGTTTGTTTTTCTGTTTTTGTCGGGCCTGGTCTGAACCGGCCCGTTGTCTTCTCGTCTTGCGCATAATTAATGATCTGCTCCATATTCACGCATTGATGTAGGTCTCCGTCTCCGTCTCTGTCGCCATCGCCATCGCCATCGCCGTCTCCGTCTGCGTCTCTTACTTTTCGGTCTGTCCGGCGGTTGCAATGTTTCTACGCCTGCATCTCTGCATATCCGTGGGCTGTTGCCTGGGTTTCAGATTTGAGATTTCACCATGTCTTCTGTTCCGGCAACTGTCACTTTTCTATCTCTCGGCCACGTGATGTGCGTACGAGACGTGAAAGAAAGACTTTCCTGGACAGACGCTGAGCACTGCGATAAGCGTTGCTTGGCACATGTGAGAGCTGCGAGACGCTTGCATCTGCCAGCGAGCGAGAGGAGCTGCATCTGCTTAGCCGGCGTACAGGCGAGCAGCCAAGCACCATAACTCATCCTCACCCGCGCTCGCTGGGCCACCTTAAGCCACCAAGTTGACGGACAGCAAGTTGACAGCCCACGTTTTGTCACCCATCCCTCGCCCGCTCTAGCATAATTCCATTTCTTATCGACCGCCCGTGCTGTCAGTTGCGTGTGGCGTTGTCCGCTGAGATGCTGTCGGTTGGCCGTGCTGGAGGCAGGCTTTGGGGCTTGGCTCTGGTTGGAGGGGGTACTCCATGCGCACTCAGCTAATCAACACGACCTCAAAATGTAAATAGGCGCATCCTTCGGCAAATATTGTCGCCATTTTCTACTTGCCACGCGGCTCATCCCTGTGCCAGTTCAACCACTTTCCTCTCTCTCCGCTCCGCTCCACTCCACTCTCTCTCTCGCCACCCGCCGCTCGCACCAGCCTGCGTATCTGTCGCTCTGTCTGTCAAACTCATGCAAAAAGATACTTTTCTTTTTTCTTTTTCTTTTGCTATTTTGTTCTTTTTATTTTTATTTTTATGCTGCTTTTCGCTTTCTCCGCTGTGCAACTGAAAGTGTGAGTGCGAGCGTGTTTTCATTTTCCCCACATTTTTCCTCGACGGTTTTTCGTTTTCTTTTTTTTTTGACACATAAAAGGACACGCACCGCGTCACATCATGAAAGGATTGATTAATGATTCGTTGATTTTCGCCCTTATTCTCTTTAGTTACACTTGGGCACATAATCCGCCTCGTCTCCAGCGTTTCGATTCCATTTCTGCGCCAGCAGGCACACCACACACACACACACAGCACAGCACAGCACAACACAACGCAACAACCACACACACCCGATTCAGTCGAATTTTGCGTAAAGTAAGTTTTCAAGTGAAAACAATGCCTCACTGAGTTTCCAATCCACTGTCAGCAGCCAGGTTGACCAAATATGTTTCCATTTTAGATGCGCATTCCATTAGCTAATTTCTTAGTTTTCCTAAATCCCTCGTGCTTTATAAATCCAAGAAGTTAGCGTAACAGGTCTATATAGAAAACATTTTTGTTTTTTAATTTATTTAATCAAGAATCTGGGGGTACATACATAGAAGCCACGCATTGTCAGATCGATAAAGTATAGGTAAGTATATAGAAATAATTTAAAAATGAGCTGGAGAATATTTACATAAGCTGAAAAACAAATTGGAAACGTTCTTGTTACATAAAGTTTATTGTATGAAATCATCTGACAACAAGTTAGCTTAGATGATGCTGCGCCAAGCCTAGCGGCTTATTCGAACAAGTCTGGATCGTTACGCAGGCTTTCGCGGACTCTAGAAATAACTATATAATAAAAATTTGTTCAAAAGCTTTTGGTTTATAAATCATAATTGTGTATTAAAGTACTTTTACAAAGCTGATAATTTATCTTCGAACTGTTTCTTAATTAATTCAAGCTGCGAAAAATCTACGTTAAAGAATATTGCTTAAGTATTTTTTTTTAATAACTGCTGAATTTTCTAACATATTTTTAATTAAAGAAAAAGAAAAGTTCTTTTTTCTTAAAACATAATAAATAATTTTATATAAAAAAAAAGAAAAATGATTGCAGTGAGGAAACAAATTTCATTTTAATGCAATTCTCTGAAATTATTTTAAGAAAAAGAATGAAATTAAGAAGATTTGCACTTATTTAAGGTTAACCAACATAAATATAATTTTAAACAGCATAAAAAGAAGGTAAACTAAGATTTTCATGAGATGCCAATTAATTCTATTAAAGATTACTGACAGATCCGTTATGTATCGAGCTAATGTAGTTAGCTTTCTTTTTATAGCCCCTTGAGTCGGGCATTTGAAGTAATTAGGGGAAGTTGTAGTTAACAGAACCCAACCCTCCGTCAAGTGCACTTTGACTTATCAAATGGAATCCATTAAACGAAAACAAATGCTTACTGGCAAGCACGACTCATGAATAAAAGAACAGTAGGAAAGTAATTATCATTGGCCATTTCACACGTGGCATTCGCGCTGACTCCTTCCAAAGGCAATGACAATTAAAAGCAGGACGAGAACTTGTGGGTGCGACACGCATTGGGACTCACACCCACACCTTGTTGGGACAGGCAGGCACTTTGACAAAGTGTTGATATGTACCGAAGTAATTAAACGGGATACAAAGCTGACTAATTTCAGCACGAGTTGAGTTTTGACCAATGTCCATTCGTTATTAACGCTTAAGCAGTTGCTGAGAGCACGCAAGTCCGCCGGACAGCAGCCAAACCCGGCGAGGGGCTGGCCATGTGGGTTGAAGTTGGAGTTGGATTTGGAGCAGGGCCTCAGATGAGGGTTGCCTTAGTGTAAGGGGGCAGGACTGAACGACGTGACATATGTCGACACTAGACTGGACGCGCAAATCACATTCACATTCGCATTCCAGAAGCCAACAGTGACCACTTTGGGCTACACAAAAAAGGGAAGCCTGCCGACCAATTCATGGTGCAGAGATTCGGAGGTGGGCGCTTGGATACTGGGTGTTTAAAGTGTCGAGTTGTGCGTCTTAAAACTAGAAAAATGATTCCGTTATCAGCTTTACCTACTGCCGCGTCCGTTGCCTGTTTTAAAATGCGTTTAAGCCCGTGAAACGTAGGTTGGCCCAAAACGGCCAGCATGGGCAACAGCAACACGAACAACCCGGGTAACAACAACAACAACAACATAACGAAATGAGCCGAAAACATTTAAAAGGCGAGCTGCGTTCGAAACCTTCATCAAATTTGACTGACAGGTTTTCAAGATGTTCGCACTAGCAACCAACTGTTTCTCTCTCCTCTTCCCTTCTCATCCCAACTCAACTCCATTTCTTTTGGATGCTGCCAGCCAAAATGGCCAACGTCACTCGAAAAGCCTTCCAAGACAACGCATTTTGTCAGCTGGGTTGGCCTTATATGAAAGATATGAGCTATAGCTACATTTTAAAAAAAGCGTTTTACCAATATCCATGCATAATATAAGTATAATGTTTATAATGAATCCATATTCGATTCTAAGCCAATATACATCCAAAAATAAGAATATAATATTACATTTATTTGTTGTCTTTACAATATTATGGCATAGATTGAAACATATTTTCATTATATACGACTCGGAAAACTATATTGAAGAGATCTTCATGCTTATCGTTGCACATCTGATATTGCGATTCCTTGAAGGATTTTCAATAGAGAAATACATATTACAAATATTTAATGCAAATGTGTTGGCCATACATTTGTGACTTTTTTCTTTTAAGAACATTTGTAACTGCATTGGTAAGATCTCGATTTTTTTTTTTAGCTTAAGGTATATATTTTATATAAGTTGACTATAAAAATGTACCATATTTAGCGCCATCTGTTGGCCAATAGTAACGGGGTACATATTATCCACAGTACACAGCATGGACAACAACCCTGTGTACGAGTATAGCTGCACTGCTCTATGTACTATATTTGTCTCTTTCTTGCTTATCGGCTACCAAGTCTACGTGTTTATCGATAAGTGCGAACTTCTGTTGAAATTAACAGCGACAAGTTATAAGAAATTTATTTGTGTTGGATAATCCAAGCAATCCATTATTATTATTATTATTTTTATAAATTATGTAGAAGGCTTTTAGATTTAAGGCTCTAAATAGTTGATAAGCTTGCTGAGGCGAGGTGGCCGCGTCGCCCCGGGGATGGGTGGTCGGAACAGGGGATGGAGCATCTGGGCAAGAGTTCGCCTCCTTAGTCTCCTGATGGAACGGACACCTTGAAGGATGCGGGCAAGATTATTGGCGTGTGTGGCTAGCCGAATGTTATATAATCCTAATCTGCTCATCGAGCCAGGGGATCTGCAGATCTCTGTAGAAGATGCCTTTGCGCACGTACTATGGAACTCCTGCCATCCGGCGAAGAGTCTTGCTTTGAAGAGATTGAACTCTGTTTCGGTTAGATCGCAGATCTGTATGGCATCAGGTGCGTGCCACAGATTGTAAGTAAACTAGCCGTTTACTTGCAAGAGAAAGTTTGCTGCGAAGCTTAAAGTATCAGGCAATTCACTTCCAGCTTATACTTCTATGTATTTATATTCTAGCTCGTCGGGAATGTTTGCTCCACTTAATAAATTGTATGAAAAATTAAGCAGAAAGGAATGTACAATATCATATTTATTTGTTATAAATATTGTTTATAATATAAAAATTAAAAGGGAAATATTTGTAATTTGTAATTAACATAGAGAGTTAATACCTCTCCCAGCATTTATTCAGTTTATGCTCATAAGTTGTTCTTAAAATAAAAGAAAGTGGGAATTAAAATTTAAAGAAAAAATCAAGACTATACAAGTTTTAGTAATACTTTAATAATTTTATATTGGTGTGTCCCTCCCTCTGGGACCCCAGTTTAGGGGAGTCGCTTGCGGGAAACAGCCAATTAACGGGTGAATGTTAATCGAATTAGCCTAATTTAAATTATATGGCAGCATGTGAAGCGAAAATTTCAAAATTGAAATTATCATATCAGCATTTAAATTTAACGAACTGTTTGTTTTTGTAATTAGAGCCAAAGCATATAGTATAATAAAGTGTAATCTCTTATATTATTTGCGTCATAATCGAGGTGACAAATGGCACTTAGAATCTTCATTCACATCTATGTGATATAGATGTATATCAAATAAATATGCTTTAATTAGCATTTTGAGGATAGAATCAACTTCAATTCAAAGGCTTATTGCTTTGCTTTGAATATTCTTCAACACGCAATTTCAGGTGCCTTGTTGCATGTGTTGCCATGTGCAAGGTTTTCGTTTTTGTATTATAAAAAACTCTTACACAATGCTTCTATCATTTTGGTCATTATCAAAAGTGGACAAAAGATTATATATATCAGCTGGTATCAAATAATTATGAACTATTTGTGTGTCATGGGAACAGAGGCCCATCATTTAAGTTTGCTATCTACAATTAATAATACGAGAGTTCCTTCGATATCTAAATTACTTGACTAACGCCTTTGTTCCGCGCCCAGGTAGCATGTGTACAGTCACCGAAGCGAACCGAGAAACAAGTCTATTAAAATGTGAAAATCTGTAATTGGTTGAAACGCGTGGATTCCCTAGATAAGCGTCTTATGGCTGCGACTCGACAAATTTTGAGCTGACCCTCCGCAGTCGACAGTCGTCGTTGACAGGGCAGATGGTACCAGTCCCTCGCAGGATGTGGTTTCGGGCGGCATATGCAAATGGCAATAAGTGCACGGCCATTTGCACAAGCTCAGCAAAAATCCAAAACGAGCCACGAAACGAGCCATCGGCAGACGATTGACCCAAATGCCGAGCACGGGTACTCAATCGGGTACTCACTCCTCGCCAGCTCCTGCCAAACGATTCGTAATGACAATTTGTATGCAAAATTTCGTATGTAAATTCAAGCGGCACAGCGAATAAATTGCAGTCAGCAAAAGAGCTGAAAAAAAACTGACTGCAAGACACTCGACAAAAATTTGATATTTGTGTGTTCGATGCAACACTTTTTGTGGGAATCAGCATTGTTATATATATATATATATTATAATTTCAATAAAGCTCAAATACCTTATAAGTAAGTAACTATGTCTTATCTGGAGCATTTTTAATATACAATATTCTTTAATAAAATATACGTTTTATTCATTTCTTTAAGAAGAGAACACAGCTAAAAAGGTAATACACAATAGTTAATACATTATTTACACTAGAAATGTTAATAAATAATAATAAAAATAAATAAATAAAACTTAAATCAAACATTTGAACTGCGATAAGATATTTAGCTTATTCTTGTGTAGAAATAAGATTTAAATAAAAATATAGACCTTAGCAATACACACAAATAATTATAATTTTTTTTTTAATTTTTATTTAAATAATATAGTAATATAGTAATATAGTAATATAATCATAGAGCATGCCAGTGTATAGTTGCTTAGTTTAACTTCTTATCTATAGATTTAGACCTGGAACCGACACAGCACAATTTATTATAGGTAAAAACGTCAGCAAATCAGAACAGTTATCTAAAGATCGTGCAAAGAGATATATACAATATAGCCAATCAATCAGTGGGGCCTTGAAATTGTTAAAGTTGAAGTCTTACGAATAGAGAACACTGATTGAGACACTTAATTCAATGCACTATTCACATATTCACTATTCACATATTCACTATTCACATGTTCACTTATTCACATATTCGCTGGACAATGAGCCACAGAAACCTCTCTAGAACCGAATTTGTCCTTAAAACTAGTGTACAACAAATTCGGATCTACAGGGTGGACGTGGAACAAAGTGAAACCTAGACGCGTGGCAATACACACAGGTGTAACCTGTAAAAAGTGAGTTGTAATTTGCAGAAACAATTTGAACAGAGCTGCGTCTATAATTTGTGTGTCGTGCCACACGTGATGCCAAATTATGAAATGACCCATAAAAATGATTACAATGCTCACAAAGTTTGTGTGTGTGTGTGTGTGTGTGTGTGTGTGTGTGCTTGTCGCTAATTATATTGAAGCACGTTGCAAGCTCCGAGTCGCCGCAGTGGGGCGCAGTCACGAACCCCAACGGCAGCAGCAGCCAGAGCAGCGAGTGAGTCCTTGGAGCAGCCACATGCACTGTGTGTCCTGGCTGGCGGCGTGTTGTCTTCAGCTGCGTAGCGAGGCAGCAACTGAAGGCGTTCCGTTGCCAGTGCCGGCCAGGTGGAGGCGCAAGATTAGGTGGCCCGGCCCCAAAAATCTATTTCCCAATGCTCGATAAGATAACGCTGTCTTCCAATGTCTTGTGCATGTTCTTAGCGCTTCATGTATCTAATTGATTGGACGCGGATTAGAGGCACTTTCTACATATCGATATCGAGTCCGGGCATATCGGAGACTTTGCCTTTTAGTCGTTGTCAGCGTCTGTGATAAGAAACAAACACATTAAATGAATGATAGATAGATATTAGGTGTATCTGTGTGTGTGTGCGTGTGTGTAAGCGTGTCCGTATTATTTGTATTGGGACCACGAATCAATCAGGTAATTTCTGAGCTGCCATGCGTCCAGCTTAGGGGGAACTCTGCCAATTCCAGTTACAGCCAAATTTGTTTGCATTCTAAAGACGCCAGCGTCGATTAGGCCAGTCGGCGACGATGTTGGCGCCATGTGGCTAAGCCTTTGGTAAGCCCCACAGCGCCACTTGCCACCGCCACTGCTGTTCATGCTGCTGCCCCCACACCCGCTGGCCACGTCTGTCAGTGATGATTCAGCATAAGCATTCGCAATACTGCTGAATAATGAAGGAGGAGGAGGAGGAGGGCAGCTGCAGGACGAGCGACTGAAATATGGAACAAATCATTGTGCCATTGTGCAAGGTCGTTGGGTATTGTAATATATGGATGCTAATCCTGTGTGTGCGTGTGTGTGTCCTGTGAAGCAAAGCGATTTCCAGTCAATTAATTAATGAGTTTTTAACGTTATTCATTAGCCCTAATCGTCTAGGACTAAACTTAAATAAGCCGCCCCTAAGCTGCAGCAAGGGGCGCGCCCCTGGGCCCAAAGTCAAGCCAGCAAAGTCAAAAACCTTTGCTAGGCTGTAGGCAGCAACTGAGACCCCGGATTAGGTCCTGTAATGGCAACAAATCTTGCGTAAACAAAGGCAGGCGAAACGACTTCTAACACCCCTCGCACACACGCTCTCTCTCTCTCTGTTTCTCTCTCTCTATTTCGCTGTCTTGCTCACACACACACACACGCACACATATTCATTGACTGCGCTGCTTCTTTGTCTGTTTCTGGTGGTTGCCTTTGTCCTTTTTTGCAGCCTCAATGGCTGCGTTCTCTCTGTCCCTCCCTCCCTCTCTCACACGCTCTTCCTTTTAATCCTCTCTCTCTCTCATTGCCTCTCCAAACTGTATACACACAATCCACAAAAGCAGGCCAAAGAAAGAGAGAGGGTGAGAAAGAGAGAGAGAGAGAGAGATATATATATATAGAGAGAGAGGGTGAGAGAGAGTGTGATAGGGAACAGGGTGTGTAGCAGCTGGTTGTATGAGCAGGGGCTGCTGCCATTGCCTTTCGTCCTCTGCACTGCTCCCGGTGGTTGGTTCCGAGCCGCACATTAAGATAAACGAGAACGATTCGTATCGCTGGCCACTGGCTACTGGCGCAGTGCTCTAAATACTAATAATTAACTAACCTTGGGAAATTAACGCATCTTCGCCAAATTGAAGTTTGCGAAAATGCATTACATCATCCCCAACCTCACGGAACCCGAACCGCCCGAACCGATCCATAGACCGCAGACCGACCGACCGACCGACCGACCGACCGCAGACCCATTGCCGTTTAATATGCTAATTGATTTCACGTGGAACGCGTTGTTAACACTCTTCGGATCTGGCTAATACTGGCAATTGCGCTTCCCATTTCTGACGGTCAATGGAAATGTTGTCGACGTCTTTTTTGTGCAAATTATAATCGACTAATCAAACAGTAAAATTGCAAATAGAATTCAGAAATGATTCATTTCTGAAATGTAATATTTAATTCAATAACCACTTTCAGGCAAATATGAATATAATTGCTGAAAATCTGAATATGATTGTGCTTTCATCACTTTTAAGCTCTTTCAACTAATTATTCCCAGTAAAATTCAAGACCTTATGTACTTTTTACGTCACCAAAAATATTGCGTTTCTGTTTCTTATGAAGCTGTTAATTTATGTTTTGCGTAATCTGAAGGTCAAAATTAAACAGTCACGTTTTGTTAAAACCAAAAAAATTAAATAGAAAACGTAAAACGTAGCGCACTTAGGGATAAACGAGTTTAAGTTGTGTATTAAATTTGTTATATTTCCTATTCTAGTTCAAAGAAACTATGGGGTAATATTTAATATTTATATGAAATATCTCGATATTTCCTAATTTTTAAACTGCGTATCTCTGTCAAACCTCTACCAAATTGGTTTTCATTTAACATTATTTATTAACGCAATGTGGTGTTAAAAAAAAAAACAAATATACACTATTATATGCAAAAATTAAAAAAAAAAGATACCTGCTATAGGTATATTATCTATTTATATCTTAGCTGCACTTTTTCCAACTTCAAAATGATATATTTAAATTTTAAGTTTAATAAATACA